TCCTCCTCCTCCTCCTCCTCCTCCTTCTCCTCCTTCTTCTCCTTCTTCTATGATTGCACATTAGTCATACAGAATAGTGGGTTTCATTTTGGTGTAATTGCATCTGTATAAAATGTATGCTGGTCATTTGGGGGTAAGTAATTTCAGTCTTCTGGTGGTCCTGATGCAGGTAATTACAGTGAGCCCTGCATGGAGATCCCTCTAGGAACCACCACAAGGCTCCAACCAGCATGGCTTCCTGTCTGGCCCTCCAGCCTTCCTATTCTTACCCACTCCAGTGTTACTTTTTCCTGAGATGAGCGACCCAGTCAGTTCATGAACACTTCACAGAAACTCTGCTTTCTTGCAAATAAAACTGATCTTCAGGAGCCAGGCCTTGCATTTTTGCAGTCATTTAAGGTGTGACACCTGTGTTCCGTGAGTTGTTGCCCTATATGATCCTGTCAACCAGAGCCCTTGTTTTCCTCCAGGAATGTACAAATCGCTGCTGCAATGCTACCACCTGCACCCTGAAATCAGATGCCGTATGTGCACACGGTCTGTGCTGTGAAGACTGTCAGGTGAGTCACAGGACCTGCAGCTGGGCCCCAGGTCATCAGTGGGTTTGGGTGATTCCCAACTGATATAAAGTAGCACAAGCAATATGGCAGGACAGCTTCCCCAAAAACTATGACTCCTTTTACATACTTGGTTTCAGCCACCTCTTATTTTTTATGATTTTCCAATATTCTGGTGAAAGGAACACTTCAATTACTAATTATCTATGATAAATCATTTATTTGTGGACTGAAAAATAACACACTCCAAAACTGGAGCTTTGCATTAGTGGGTGTTCCATTTCTCCTGTTGTTTGCACGTGGGATCCTATGACAGTGACAAGCATGGAGAATCAGATCCATCCCTGTCTCTGGGTCTCACTCCCGATTCCTCTGCATAGTGCCAAGAATGTCTGCCCAGTGGGCTGAGAAACCATGCGGATGGGTCCATAAGCCTCTCTGTTTTGACATCCTCCTGACATTAAGTCAAGAGTGGCAGTTTTATGTTTTGGCCATTTTTGCTGCTGTGACTGCATTTACGTCGGCAATTCCATTATTCTGAGCTGATACCTGACAAAGGAGAAGCCCAAGCTTCTTATTCAAGTGTTCCACAGGTAGAGTTTTATTTCTTATTAATTAAGCAAATGATCTTGGCAAACAGCGTACAAGAAACTCCCATTTAGCTGCCTCACTTGAATACAGTGATTTAGAAGCGCAGTTTAGCATTTTATGCTTGGCATTAAAATGTCCTTCCCCTCTTCTTGGTGGTCTGTGATTTCTGGGGAGACTTTAACAATCTGGAGCTCCCTAGTGCCTGGCCCTTGCAAAGTACCTGGAGAAGGTCGAGAGGGGTAAAAGAGAGCTGAACTCAGACCAGGTGAGGCTCAAGAAGGGTCTTGGGAAGGGGTCATGTGGCAGTGCCCAGGTATGAACCACTTTTACAAATTTTAAGCAATTTCTTTCCAATTCTAGACCTTCAAGACATTGGCAGGAGCCTTGTCTCATTTCCTTTGAATAATATGTAGGGAACTAAGCACAGGCCTTGCAGTCCATGGCTGCTTAGCCTCTCTGAGCCTAACTTCTTCAACTACAAAAAAGAAAAAGAAAAAAAGAGTCCTTGGTCAGAAGATTTCTAGCATCCTTTACTACTCCCATGTTTTGTCTTTTCTCTATATCTCCCCCATAAAATGCTAAAGAGAGGTTTCTAGTTCTGTGGTTTGGTGACAAAGTGACATTTCTAAGGAAATGGTGCCCTTGGAATTATTTCTGTTAACTTGTCCACAAATGGCCAGCACTGTAAGTGCAAATGTCACTTGAAAACATGGGATGATTTTGGCAGTCAGAGAAGAATCAACCTTCTCAGAGGCCCGAGGTGACAGATGCCAGCCAGTGGCTTGTCTACTCACCAGAAACCCCTAAGGTTGCACGCAATTAAAAAGAGGCTGTTCTTATTTGCCTGATATTCCTTATAGCAGAAAGGTGAACCCCAGGGCCAAGAGGAGAACTCTTTAATGAGCTCTCTCTGCAGTAAAAGAGGCTTATTTTGAAATCCTTGCCAATTTATGTGGCTGTATTAAGATGGCCTTGCTTCCTGCCTCTGCCCAGAGAGCTGCTGGGGATGGCTTCTGCTTCCCCTGGGACACGTCCTGTAAGCTATCCTCTCCTTTCAGCTGAAGCCTGCAGGAACTGCATGCAGGGGCTCCAGCAACTCCTGTGACCTCCCAGAGTTCTGCACGGGAGCAGGACCTCACTGCCCAGCCAATGTTTACCTGCACGACGGCCACCCGTGTCAGGGGGTGGATGGCTACTGCTACAACGGCATCTGCCAGACCCACGAGCAGCAGTGCATCACACTATGGGGACCCGGTACGTGGCCACCAGCAGCTTGACACAGGGTCTTAGGGAAGCATGTTCTGTGTCCATTTTACATACAGTGGGCAAAACTTGTGCCTAGAGTCTGCCCTTGAGGAGCTCGATGAGGCCCACAAGAGAGGCACAAGTACTGTGGGGTAACAAGGATCAGCCAGGGCTCAGCGTGTACAGAGTGGGGTGGACAGGTGATCAGACCTTCCCACGACCACTCAGATTGTGAGTGTCTCTGTATACAGAGAGCTCAGTCAAGGGTAAAGGATGCCAGAGAGAGAAGCCACTGCAGCTTGATGAAACAGAGGGCTACCTGGGCAGGCTCCCAGTTACATCAGACTTGATGCATGAGTAGCTCTGTGACTGAGAGTGACAGGGAACAGTAAATTGCCTCTGGGGTGGGAAAGCCCATGGTGTGGCGCAGACAAGGTTGTGGGATGCTCAGCTCCAAGCTTAGGGGCATGGCGAAGGACAAGAAACAGGTGAGTGAGGGTCAAGATGTTATTTCTAGCAAAGGCTTCCATCCCAGTGAAAGGGGGCCAGGGTATGGCTGCCATGGTGATAGGATCAAATAAGATGCTATCCATTCACTGCTCCCTGTGGGGAGGACCATCATCTGAACACTGGGCCACTTTAGATTAAAGCTGTATAGAAGGTAAAGCTCAAACTTCTGAGATGGAAAGTCAGCTTCCCAAGGACATGCAGCTGGGATTTGAATCTGGCCACTAGGACCCAGCACCCAAGCAAAACGTCTGTAGTCCATTGTTGCTCCAAAGCGTAAGTGAGGTCTTTGTCTAACGTCCCAGAGGCTCTAAAAGTCAGTAGAAGTTCAGATGCAGAAGAGAGAAGAGTCAGCGCTTTCATGTGTATCTCCTACCTGTTCCGTCCTGTGGTAGAGATAGAGGGCCTCACCACCCTGGACAGCCTTTGGGATTTTCTGTGTGTCCTCAGTTCCCAGGCTTCCAATGGAGAATCCCATGCAGAGTGCCTTGTAATCCTGTCTCCTTCCCTTACTGCAGTGTAGCCAAGGCCTTGTTCATTCCCTCCTCCCTGGCTACAAAGGGGTGACCTCAGTCCTGGCCAGGGACCCCAGTGCCAACAAGGCCACTGTGGTCAACCAGGGTTAAGGTGAGAGCCAGATGAGCTCAGAGGACAGCTCCAGGGGGGTGGGAAAACTGATACAGACTGTGTCAGGCCTCTCTGTGAAGTTCTGGTTTCAGCAGTGATTAGGGTAAATAAAGTAGAGCAGAACATGATGACCAACGCATAGAAGCCTGGGTTTTAAATATGATGTGAAAGTGATGGCCAAGCATAGAGAATATCAGAGTTGGATCCAACCATGGAGCCTGCTGTCCCTGCCAGCCAAAGATGACCCTCTGCTTTCTGATGTAGAAGAAAGCACAGGCTGGACAGTGACCTTTACTTATTTGTGGGTAGGTGAAATGAGGAGGCCGGTGGCTTCTGGCCCTTCATGCTTCATCCTTGGGCCCTGAGTACCCCCTCAACCCCAAACCCCCCACCCCACCCCCAGTTCACTGGCTGTGAGGTCCTCTACAGGGCAGGGGCATCCATGTTGCCATGACAAGCAGCAAGAAGGCACTTGCTATGCATATGCGAAGGAATCTCAGGTTCTGAATGTTTAGCAACTTCAGACCCTTTCTAGGCAAGCAAGGTCACTTTGGGACAGTGGCTACTGCTACAAGCCAAATCCTCAAGTCCCCTTTAAGGCCGTCTCCACCCAGACACACACCCCTCGCCAGCCCTTCTGCAGAGTCAGTAATCTCCCTTCTTGAGTTATGAGTGCCGTTCTGTACTCTCTTCCAAGGAGTGTTTTGTGGCCAGAGCACACACAGCACTTGGAGCTCTGGAGTAAAACGTGCTCTCTAGTGCCCTGCTGTTCTGTTTCTGGCCCTATTTCCAGAGTGAGGTCAGACGGAACTCCACAGTTCTGAGCCACCGTGCCGTGTGACTGTGCTGGCTGTATGCCTTGGTTCACAGTGACCAAGGCTGGTATTTATTATCTCACTGGGCTGGTCCTTCCCAAGCTGCCTGACCAGAGGGGTTAGAAGAGAGAACCAAGCACACAAACCAACCAGACAGACAATCTGACCCCCAGCTGAGCTTTGCAAAAGCAAGAGCAACAATAAGTTGTCTGCTTGAACTCTCATTCTTGGGCCTGAAGGTAAGGCTGGAGGTCTGAGTGCTCAGGAAGCTTCCCCTTTCCCCACAATGGGAGGCTTGGTCTGGGTAAGCTGGTGTTTGCCCAGGGTGGTTCACTGAGTATAGCATTAAACAAATCACAGAGACCAGGTCTGGAAACTAGATTTAGGAAATGGAGCACCTCAGGCTCATGACTGCCTGGGGATCAGTACTCGTCTGCTAGCTCTTCAGTATAGATTACCAGCCAACTTCCTCAGAAGAGCAGGGAACATGGCGCATCAACCCCAGCCAAGGCGCTTGGGACCAGCACCTTCTTAGAATGAACCTCTAGCCACCACAGAGGAAGTGTGGGGCCCTCTCCCCCGCATCAGAGTCCTACCTGGTTTTCCATTTCAAGGGCTCCATGAAAGTTTCCTGTGGCTGCTGTGACATGACAAATGACCACAGCCTTTGTAACACATAATGAGCACAAATGAATTCTCATTCTTGGGCCTGGGGTCTAATTACCTGGGGAGCATCCCCCTGCCCCAGCAACACAAATTTCCTATCTCCTAGTTCCGGGAATCAGACATCTTAAAATCAGAATGTGGGCAGCACTGCTTAGAGGGGCCGAGGAGAGAATCTGGTTCCTTGACTTTCTTGGCTTCCAGAAGCCACTTATGTTCCTTGGCTCGCGACCCCCCGTACCTCCTCAAGGCCAGTAGTACAGCATCTGCAGTCTCTCTCTTCCATCTCTGCTCTTGACGTAACATTGCTTTCTTCTTCTGACCTTCCCACTACTCCCTGAAGGACCCTTGTGATCATACTGGGCCACCAGGATCATCCAGAATTATCCCCATCTCAGAATCCTTAACTACGTCTTCAGAGTTCCTTGTGCCATGTAAAGTAACATATTCACAGGTCCAGATTGGAGTGCTGACCTTTCTGGGGATAGGTGAGGACTGACATTGAACAGACAGCTTCCTACGTGGGTCACCTTCGGCAAAGTGTTCCATGTTGTTGTACCTGATCTGTAAAGTGGGGTCCATAGCCTGCCTAGCCAGTGAGTGTGTGATTCACCTTTAATATAAACCATAATGTGTTCTGCAAAATACACGCCATGGAGAGCCACTGCTGATACATAGTGCCCAGTTAAATTGAAACTATAAAAGAAATCCGGCTACGCTCAGAGCAAGTTCCCAGATTAGTAAGCAAGATGAGGAAGTTCTGTGAGCTCTTAAAAAGGGCTGTGAGAGCACTGGGGGCAAGTATGGTGCAGTGGAGGAGATTGGGCTCTGCTCAGCCATAAGAGGCATGTGCAGCCAGTTAGGAGGTCTTGCAGACGAAGTTTCTGGGGAGCAGCCATCTGCTGTGGTTGAAGAAGGGTGTCTCTGGCATCCAGACTGGAATAGATATGTCTGGCACACAGCAACCATGGTAAGACCAGGTAGTTCTGTTCGTGCAGACCTTGGGTTGTGACTTGGACCGAAGTCCTCATGGGCCACCCCCATACTTTCATCTTTGAAGTATTTATTGACATCCTGCTGTGTAGAAGATGCTGACTCAAGACACCATTCTGCCAGAGGGATGCACTTCCCCCAGTCCATGTGTGCTCTTGCTCAGACCTGGAGTGGAGTCAGGATGTGACTTTTATCATACTGTCCTCCCGGGAAGTGTCGAGCCTGGACAAATACAGTCCTAGGGGCAGAGGTGACTTCCTCAGCCCAACCCCTAGCCAGCTAGATGTACTGGGGTTGAGAGCATTTTAATGCTCTGTTACAGTGCTTGGTTTGAATTAGCTTTTCATGACTAAGAAAGGCAGACTCGTTGCAGGAATGCCTTTGCAGTATTTCATTTCCCCACCCTTCAGTGAGTGCCCAGGATCTGGTCCACATTTGAGACCTCTAGGGAGGCACAGTAACTGAGAGCTCTAGACTCACTGAGCCTTTGGTCTGATGGCTAGGGTCACTCACATCCTGGTGACCTAGCCAAGTCATTGAGTCACCCAGATTTCTCCAGTCATATCCAGGATGTCTGTTACTTGTGCTCCAGAGCTGGCTACCCAAAAGCTGACCGGATGAGGTCCTTCCTTCCAGATAACTATTCCCTTTTGAAATGGGCTTTTCTCAATCCAGCATTATATTTCAATAAAATAATTCTGCTTCCAAATCTCTCTACAAATGAAACACTAGAAAATTCAAAACATATGCCTGAAATTCCTAACTGGCAAAGTGATTTTTAGAATACCTTTTGAATTTTTTGTTCATTTATTTGTTTTTCTAATTGTTATCATTGATATTATTGATAGTCCCCCTGTTGTTGGGAGTTTTATTTCTTTTCCTCACTCATTTTCTCCCACAAATCTTGCATTTCAAGATTGTAGATGTTGATGTCAAAGATATAAATGTTATTTGCTGTTCAAATAGTGTAACTTGCATTTAGCCCTCTTCTTCCAACTTGGTCTTAATATCCACAAAGATTTCCTGTCAGTGTGACATGACCTTTATTCCTGCTGAAATACAACTGAATATTTTTCTTTAGGTGGCAGATTTACTTTTGCCAATGTGGTTTTTCAGAACTACTACCATGGTGGCTGAGAATATTACTTGGCAGTTAATCTAACCAATAACTAACTACATGATAACTATGAGCCTACAGCCACCACAGTTTGCTGAGGGAAAGTCTTGAAATATGTTAGTGTTATCTATTTTATCTAGTGTCATTTGATTTATTGCTTATTTATTCAATGTGAGTTAGCTAGACAATTTTTATGGGCTGGTAAATACTCAGTATTTATCTGCAAGGTGGGTTTAAATGAGCTTGATTTTTCAGAACTCCACCTGGGTCCGTGCATTTACTTATCA